ATTTAGTCGATTAAAAACGATACAAACGATATTTCGAAATTCGTTCAACGCCGTTACCTCGTCGCATTTCTTTTATAGTTGCTTTCCAATGGCTGCCCTACCGATTTCTCTATTCGACCTTTTGAAACTATCGCCGATCGTACTGTCAAGCCCGAACGTTTCGCGTCGAAAAGGGCGTATCGAAACAATGATCGGCGGCGATCGGTGGGATTCCTCGCCGGCCCGATTCGACGGACGCTGTTCGCGGAGGCGACGGGTCGAAATTTAACGGTTTCGATTCGGTTCGTTCTGTAATTATTCGGCTGGGAACGATGGTTCCGCGTCGCCGAGCGAACGCATTATTCGCGGGCGATTCCTCCGCTCGTCGCGGCCGCCGCGATCGCCGCCATCGCCGCCGTAGCCGTCGCGGCGTTGGAAAACCGTGGCGAAAGTTGATTTAATTACACGGTAATCGAGTGGCGGATGCCGGGCGTGGCGCGGCGCTTCGGTTCATCCAATTGCGACGATTAAGGGAATTGCTGCAGCCGCGCGCAGTTGCAGCCGCGAGTTCGACGGGCGGAGGACGGTAACGCGTTCGAACGAGTGAACTCGAGCGAATTTCTCCTCTCGTTTTAGTTTTTCGTTATTCCGCCGGTTTTGTTTCCGGCCGACAGACTATTTTCCGCCGGCTTGGAAAATTCAGCCGCGGCGCAAATAAATTCGGACGTTTGTTTATTTCGCGTCGAAAGACAGAGACGGGGAGCGCGCGATATCGAGGCAGGAAACGAGCGCGAAACGAACGCGCCGGATTAAAGGGATCGTTCGGTGTTTTACCGCGACTCCGAGCCTGTCGGCAACTCTCGACGGTTCCCCGTAATTGCGAATGATAATTACGCGATTGCGGTCGCACGCGTGGCTGCCACCGCGACGCTCCGCGCCGCGTTGATTTTACGGTCAAGTTATTACCCTTTGATCGACCGTGACGCTTCGCGGAGTCAAGGATTTTGCGACGGGTTGTCGAAAAGTCAATCTTTCCGAATCGATTTCGGCGGCTTCCTAACCGTCCAAATGTTCTCTTAGTTTCTGCCGGTAGATTTCTGCTGTCTAGAAGAATTTTCAAAAAGTCCACATAAAATCGGAGCTCTGCACAATTATATCCGAGTATCCAAAGTTCTACGAAAATTTTCACCGATTTGTTCGATTCGGCGATTTCAGTTCCTCAACCACCGAACCCATTACATATTTCGTTCGATCGGCAGAGACTCGGAAATCGGTGATTCGACGAGGGTGAACATCGACCTCGAGGAGCCGCGGGAACTATCGTTTCGTGCTCGACGAGCGAGTAGAATGGGCGCTCGCCTAGTCGGAACAAGGATCGTACTCGGACAGGTTGAACGGAATAGGATCTGCTCGGACGAGGACGATAGAAATGGTTCGGCTTCGAGCGCGTAGAATAAGCGCGTTACGATGTTGAAACGAGACCTCGCGATGCTAGAATCGGCTCCGTAGCTCGTCGCGTCCCGTCCGGTTAGACGAACTGTGGACGCACGAACGGAATGCGGTCGATTCGGGAACAAGGAGAATGGTCTATCCGGACGAGCGGAACGATGGAAGGTACCGCGTCGGACTGGGATCAATTTGATCGGAGTCGATCCGCGCAAGCATCGGCATCGGTCGCGCGACACGATGGTCGGACGGATCGCGAGATCGAAGTTGTCGGAGAAAGTCGAATGGAACGAGTTGGCGCATCGACGGACGGATGAAAACTTGAAATTCTAAATGAACAAATAGAATTACATCGTTCGTTCTGCGAATTCAATGGAGCATTGTTTATACTCGCGCTGCCAACGGGGCGCGGTAAGTGGAATACGTAATGTCACCGATCGGACAAAGGATAACGAGTTTGCAAACGACAAACGAGTAGAACGAGGATCGTTCGGCGTCGGGCAGATAAAAATAGAAGTCCGATGTAATCGGAAAAGTAGAATGGCCGTTAATTAGACCGGCAACGAGTTCTACTCTCGTTCATAGTTGTCGGAGGCGAATATGCCCTGGCAACGAGCCGACGAAGGTGTAATCGAATGCTCGGGCACGGACGAGTGGAACGAGTCTATCTACCGTCGGACGGATACAAATAATTCTCTGTTCCGGTTCCAAGGAGATTAATTATTCGATTATCCGTTCCCGCGGTCGAACGAGTGGAACGTGTTCTGTCGCTGGTCGCGCAAAGAACGACGAGACAACGATGGAAAAAGTAAGAAAACGATGTTCGCGATAGACCGATCGAACGCGTTCCGTCCACGATCCGAAACGCGCTAATCGAAAACCTACCAAACGGAAGAAGCGGAACAACAAAATTATATCGATTCGTCCAACCGAAACCATACCAATGATCCGGCTGGTAGAATATACGTCGCCGATGATCGGCCAAGAGCGGGCACCGTTCGATGGTCGGGCGGACGTCGAAGTTTCGATCGTAAACGTTTCCGGTGGACGCTACGGTCGCGTCAACACCGTCGAAGGCTGGAATTATTCGGAAAAAATTCGCGTTAAACGATTCAGCGTTCCGCGTCGGCGGTCGGACGGTAAATGAATGGAATTTCGCGCGGAGCCAGCATTTAATCGGAATCGGCAACGAGTACGGCAACTGCAACGGCGTCGCGGTGCATCGGTTTGCCCCCGATGTTTGAACCGGCGGGCACGCGATTAAAAAGCCGCCGACGATTTCGGCTTTTTCGGCCTTGCCGCTTCGCGGGCGCCGCGAGCGCCGCAAGTCAAACGAAATCTCCCATCGACTTCGCCGCGTCTCTCCGCCGCTGCGGAAAATGTTTCGCCGGCGATTTTCGAGTTTCCGCACAGCCCCGCGCCTCTCTCCATTCCCGGCATTCTGGCCCGGGCACGCAACTGCATTTCGAGCGAAGTTTAATTATCCCGGACGGCGCGGTTACATGCGCGCGTCGATGAAAATTTTCATTTCGCATCGAGCAGCTTCCCTCGAATTAAATTCCGGCCGTTCTTCTTTTTCCGTTCTTCGCTCGCGGGTCGCGAACGGAGCTCGATTTCCGAAGAGATTCGCGACTCCCGGTCGATCGGCTCTATCGCGAATTCTACTAATATTTTCATGCCGGATCGTCTTTCCTCGTTACCGGGCGCAACTCTGCCGGATCGACGCACGCTCAAAAATTCCGCGCAACCGATACATATTTTTCATGAATCTTTCTACGAGCGACGATCGAAGAGCGATTCGCCCTCGCTGGACGAAACGGAGAGCGTTTAATCTCGGTCGAGAATTTTTCTCGAATATACCGTCCGCGAATCGGACAGCGTCGGTCCCGAAAGAACAAAAGGGGATTTCGTATCGAGCATTAAATTTCACAAATTTCTGCTTCCGCGAGAGAAACGACGGTGAAACAAGGTAGGTACAAGACAATGGAAAGTATCTCGCTGGTGGCGAACGAGGGGATGGAGAGGAACGGGAGGATGGGGCTGCTGGGAAACCACGGCAGGTTCCTTCGAATCGAAATTCCACGGACCGACGGAAAATTATTGGTAAAATCTATCGACTGGCTGGGCGCAGCGAGGCGAGGCGAGGCGAGACGAGGCGAGACGAGGCGAAGCGAGCGCGGGCCGAGGCAAACTGGCGCTAATCACCGGCCGAAATCTCGATTTAATGGGCGGGGATGGTTTTCGGTGCACGCGGAGGCAGCCGGTGCGGAACGACTGGTCCAACAAAAACGTCGTCTGGTTCGGCCGCATGCATCGCGACGATAAATGCCATCCCGCTCCGCTGCATACGCTCCGTTACGTTTTATGCAAAATAGCCGAGCCACGGATTTATCGATGGAACACCGGCGCTGCGCTGCGCGCGTATCCGCGTCCGCGTCCGCATAGGCATATCCGGGCCGTCCGCGACCCCGTCTTCGTACGCCGAATCTCCCGACAAGCTTAACCGCATTGTCTCGGGTGGAGCAGCCGGGTCCTCTCGGTATTCTGCTCGCGGATAAGCACGACGAACGCGAGCGACTCGCGCACGCACTTTCGAGCTCTCTGGTCGCGCCGGGAACGCCTTCCGGCAACCATCGAGAGGATCGCTGCGCTTCCCATCGGAAAATATCCCGGATTTACGCGGATGAACCGGTCCTGTGCAAATGCTACCTTTCATTTTTTTTTTAAACTGTTTCCGGCGAGATCCGCCGAAGAAACAGGGACAGGGATTTATTATTTCGGCAATCGAACGTCCTCTTCCGTGCCGATTTACATTCAATAGTTTTCGTAATCGACACGAAACGTTACGATCGCACCTTTGCGACGAGAAGAATGAAAGACGTCTCCATGGACGATCCAATGCTGTACAGGGAGTGCGCGAGTATCGAAACGCGATCGAGGCACAACCCCCTTTCACGACATGCCACGGTCGGACGATTCTCGGTAAAGAATCGCCGACTCCGCCGGGAGCCTCTACCGATCGCCTTTAAATCCCAGATCGTCTAAAAAAAATCTGGAAACTCGATCCGTCGGAAAAGTCTCTGCGGATACACCGGGTCGCTGCAAGAGGACAGCGGCAACTTTGCTTAAGCTCTTCGCAGGTTCGCCGCAGCCCTACCACCTGATCCCGGAAGCCGGCCAGCTCGCAAACGAGCACGAAGAAAATAAATTCTAGCATCCCGCGGTAGCATGTCGGGGGGCCGACAGCGACGGGTATTAAGCGGATCGCCGTCGAAGCCGTCGGAGCCGTCGAGGCGCCAAAACCCTCTTTGACGGTCCGAAGGCCTGTTGGCGCACGGCGCTGTTCGGGCTTTGGAAAAAGTCAATTTCGCGGTGCTGGCGGCTAAAGGGAATCGACAGGTTCGTCGAGGGATGATTGCGCGGATCCGGCCAGCCGGCCTTCGGGACCCGTTCGGGACCCGTTCGAGATCGGGTCGCGGGCTTCGTCGTTTCGACGAGCCGCGGAGGCAACAGCGTGCGGAAACGAGAGCGGAACGAAAGCAGAACGAAAGCGGACCTAAGCGAGCGCCACCCCATCATATTGATCTCGTAGCCGGCTGCTCAACATGGCGCCGGGGGTGGCGTTCACGATCGGCCTGGTCCTCGTCGTCGGACACCTACAGCTGGGGCCGGGAATCCTCGCCAAGACCTTCGCATTCCCCGAGTACCCGTACAAGGAGACCACCAGGAATGTAAGTCGGCCGATATTTATACCGCGAGCCGCGGCTACGAGAACCGTTCTCCCTCTTAGAGGTTATGGCAACCCGTAGCTTTTCGGGTGGCGCTTTTTTCCTACCGGGATGCTGCATGCTCCGGCCGATTGGGCCGCCAGGCCCGCTGTTTGGACCGCGATCGCGGTCGCTTCTCGTGCTCTCGCGTCTCATCGAAAATCTTTCGTTGGAATTTTTTCGTTCCCTCTAATTGGGATTCGAATCGTCGCGACCCTGTTCGAGAGCAGGGCACTGTGGCGGAGATTTTTGGTGCAGTGCGTTCGATGCATCGTCGAGCAGCTTCCATTCTGTTTTATCATTATTCCTTTGGAATCGCGGCATCGTAGATTATTTCGCGACGTCTGCCAAGTGAATTTATGTGCAAGGAGTGTCGAGTTCGAGATGCGCGTTCGTAAGAGCGTTGCAGGGATTCGTTGACCTTGATTCATCGAAATTCAGGCGCGAGCTGCTTTCGAGATGCGTAGCAAGCGCGAAGCACGTTTCGAAAGTATTTATTGCTTTGAATTAATTGAAATTGAAATGTAGGAGGCTTTCGCTGCAGCTGAAAGTGGATTTCGAAAGCGTTGAATTCGAGGGAACTTTCCGCGAGGGTGTTACAGGGATTTGTTACCTTTGATCCTTTGAAATTCAAATACAAAAGCCTTCTCGAACTGTTGGCGACTGAATTACTATTCTCGGAGCATGTTGCGTTTCGCGCAGCTTTCTACGAGCCTCGTCGAGATTCGTTGTTTTCGATTTTCCGACGTTTTCACGGGGAAAAACTTGCGCGGCGTCCAGCAATTTGGTTCGGACTTGCGCGTAGACCGCGGTTGCCTCCGAATATTCGAACGCGGACCCATCGGCGAGCTCGTGGAAGCTGTAGCCGTCTGCTTCGCGTCTCCGAGAGCGAAATTCTTGATCCAAGACGTCCGCGTTAACTGGCGAGCTTGGATGTTCCGATCGAATCTGCCTAATATCCGAGGGATAAAGATCGGATTGCGCGGAAAGGATTTCCTCCCAGGACCTCGGGCTTAGCGTTCCCATGGGGGACGCGGCGGGTGGTGCCATGGTTTCGTCGACGGGGCGAAATCGATTCGGCGTTAACCCCGAAGACGGGCGAAGTGCTCGAGGGCGTGCTTCGCCGATATCGCTTCTGCCGATACGAAGATCGCCGCGAGATCGACTCGACGAGACGTGCCAGCCAGCGCGTCCTTGGGACAAGGATCGCTCCGAGTCGCGCCGGAATCGATTGCGCTAACTTCTGCAGGAGGGCACTCGATGGAATTCGGGGCGTGCAAACATTCGTTTCTTCGTCACTTGTTGCGTTAACGCGAGCCTGGCGAACGGGCAGCCAGGGCAAACGGACGATATACGTTCGATCGAACGCGTTTTCGAGGACCCTCGTTGCACGGATTACAAACTTTGATCGACGATAGACGATTCTACGAGTCGATTAGCCCGCTCGCGTTTGCAGATTCTAATCCCCTCTGTATTTTTACCGAATACGATTTCACGGTTAAGGTTCGTCGAAAGAGAGACATCGATTTTTGCGATACTCGTCGACCAAGATGCCGCAGCTGCTTCTCGAATCACCGGTGGATCGACTATTTTTATTCCGTAACCGCGGTGCAATGGTTTTGGTCTTTGAAAAATCCGACGATGCCAGGGGCCTTAAATTTAATAACAACGCCGGCGAAGGAGAGACACCGTCCCTTTGCCTCACGGTAGAAAGATCGATAGAAAAGTTGCGCCGATGTTATTAAACTTCCCGAGAATGTCCAGCATTGCCGGCTCCCACTATTTCCACGGTGGCTGGAAGTAAGTTCGCTTGCCCGGAGAAACTGGATCCGCTTCGAAGGAAAATTGAACGAGCCCGCGCGATACCGATCGTGCCGCTAATTGGGATTAATAACCTCGGCGAGTCTCGAAGAAATTGCCGCGATAATAGATATTCTTGCCGCGCGAATCGCTTATAATAATAGTTACGATCGCTTGTAATAAAGCTAATGGCTGGTTCGCTGAGACGTTATTATGTTCGCCAGGAACTTCTCTTTAGGCAATTCGAGCAGGCTTGCGAGGAGAGCGGCGCTTGCAAGATGCATCCGCCGGAGAGGAGCGACATCGCGAAGACCAGGTGCATCCGAGAGTGCGTATCACCGTCCTGTTACAAGGAGATCTACCTGTTCGACCAGGTAATCGCAATTTATGCGCGCGGCACCACCGTGTCGGTGGCCGGAATCTCCGGGGAATATAGCAGCGAATAAATCGCAGCGAACCGCGGCTCGAAAAACGATCGAACGGTACGAAAAATTTCTTGCGCTTCGATCGAAACTTTTAGTCAACCGCGTTCCCGGAACGGCGAAACCGCGTCTAATTGGGCAAGTAGGACGAGGGTGGTACACGCGTCGGACTGGAAGCATAAATTCCGTACCTAGTGGGACGAGTAGACGCAGCCTCGTATACAACGAAGTCGCTGCGCCGGGACGTAGGTAAATGGTCGGGTCGGTAGAATCTGGGTCACCCGTGCCGGTAGATCGAGGTCTGCGCCTTGTCGGACGAATAACCGGCGGTCCTTTATCTTTCGTCCGAAACTTTTCATTCGCGGACCCGCGCGTTTATCTCAACTTTCGAGCTAATTTTCGCGAGAATCCTTTCGCAGGATTTCTCTTCTCGAATACGCATCTCGCTTTCGATCCGGAAAGCTCGGTCCCTCTTGCGTGTACACGTTTTCGCGACCGTGCCGACGCGAATTCGCGGAAGCGAGAGACCACCCGCGACTTCTGTCGAAAGAATCGAATAAACGGAACGCGACTTGGCTTTGCTTCTAGCTGGAAGAAGGGGAGATCGACGTGAGATTAAACTCGTTCAAGGGTTGCTTCATGCAGCGCAACGGTCGACCGCGGAAGTAAGGGGCACGACGCGCTGAAGAAAAGGCAGACGGAGGGGGAACGAGAAAGTGGAATCGAGACGAGAAAGAAGAAGAAGAAGAATCGAAACGAGGAAGCCCAGGAACGATTCCAAGCCGCCAACACGAATCTCCGAGCGCCGAAACCGGCCAAAACCACGCGACCACTACGTCCAGAACAGTTCCGATGACAATTTTTAGAGGGGGACGCCGTCCCGCCGCGGCGCCGGCCGCCGATTTAGAAACCGAGGGAACCGGATTATTAGCAGACAAACCAAACCAGAATCGCTATATACTATATTATATATACATATATATATTTCAAGATCACAAATAAGTAAGCGCACGCGTTCACACGCGGACGAATTTAATTCGTCCAGGATAATCTTTTTCTACTTTTTGTACGCACGTATTTGCCATGTTGAAGTAATGTTACGAGCAATGTTGCACGGATGAAATAAATTGTTGAGAGAAACACGTGTCCAAAATGTCTACACGGTCGCCGACATTTCCGCTAGCCCTTCGAACCGCGTCAGCCGATACGTTTGAAATTGTTTGTAAGGTCTTTCCATCGATCGACATCGTTTGGACAGTCTCGTAGGTTTAGGCATTCTATATTTCATTCGCCCCTTCGTCTTTGTACCGGCTCTTGGATCGGTAATTGGTATACGGTTTAATTGTTCGACACGCTACGATTGTTTCTTCGAATTCCTTGAATAAATTTGTTCGACTTCGCTACTCGATAATTCACGTTTTATATTAATATGTCTATGTCACTCTTCAGGCCAATTCTCTGAATTGGGACAGCTGAAAATAATATTCGATCGCTACGTTTCTCGTGCAAAATCCCGAGTTCGTCGAACTACGGAGATCTCCGATCGCGACGACCTTGAAACTTAACGCGTTCACCACTGCATCGACGACTCGTCGTTTCGTCGAATCCAACGATTCGCGAATTCGATCGAATTATCGGTGGTATCGACGCTGCTACAAATTCCTCTTGTTCGGTTCGATCGCAATTAATTGGCGAATGGAACCAGGATCGAACGGTTGAAAATCGATTACCAGCGACCGTGGCTCGTTACAGTGGCAAACTAGTTACCGGTCGGCCGGTCGTTCGATCGACGCAACACCCGGAATTCGTTCCGACGTGTTGCGACATAATTTGCGAATCACTCACCGCGTACCGAAGATCGTAGAACGAAGGGTCGACCTTGTCGTCCACGGTGTCCACGTACTTCTTGACGAGGTCCCAGGTATCCTCGAACGGTGTCTTACAGATGGATCTCTCGGTCCAAGGTCCTTCGTCGTTGCAGTACCTTTTCCGACAGCGAAGCCACGACGAGACGAACTTGCGAAAGTGGCTGGTCACGCAACGAGAGCTCAGCGTGGACGTCACCAGGCTGTAGTTGCTCATCAGGGTGCACAGATGGTACATCAGAGGTTCGGCGTGCTTGCGGCAGAACCTGAGCAAGCCCTCGAGACACTGGTAGACGATGTCTCTCCGCGTTGGGTCGCTCTGTCGCGGAAACGAGCGGAGTCAGGCGATTCGCAATTTTTATCGGATCGATCGATTTCAACGGAGACGTCGGTCGCGTTAAAAATTTGCCGAACGACTTTCGGGGACGTTCCAATTTCTCTCGGCCCGATAAAAGACTCTCGCGGTCGTTGTGACAAATGAAAAACTAAACGAACGCGTCGATCGATCGTTTCGCGGCATAATTTTTCAATTCGGTCGGGACGAAAGGGGGGATCGCTTCGAGACAATAGGAGGCTACTAACTATCCCGTGAACGATCCAAAGAGTCTCGTAGAGATTGATCGCTCCACCGACGACTCCGTCCAACCTGACAGGCGATCCATCGATATTTCCAGTGAAAAGTTCCAGCACGAGTTGCATCCCATTGATCGCGATGTGGACAGATTTTCTCGTATTAAACAGCAAATCGGCCAAGCTCTGCACGTCGATCGTCAACGGTTTATCGCGCTGTCGAGGCAGAGAGAAAACCGAATGTAGAACAGCGACGCGGGCGGGGACGGGGACGGGGACGGGGAACAGCGGTCGATCCGCGACGAGAATCTATTATTTATGAAATGTGCGTGATCGAAAGAAAAGTTGGCTCCGTCGATCGCTTCGCGACTCGACGGTCTTCCCTGTTTGTTTGTTTCCGATTCGTCGCGTACCCGGACGAACGATCTCTCGTGGAAATGTACGACGAACGCTAGCAACTTCAGACAGACCGCCGACAGTTCCGGGGTTTCCTCGGAGAATCCTCGCAGAAGCAGCTCCTCCAAGAAGTTCGGTGCGCCGACGTATTTCTCGAGAACTGCAATTCGATGGGAAAAGGTCGTGAGCGTTATCGTCTTTTTGGTTGTCGCTCGTTTTACGAGTCGCTGCCGCGAATGAATTCCGTGGAACGTCTACTTGTAAATGGCTTGGACGTCGCGGACGTGACCAGCAAGTCGTACGACTGCATTATTGCCAGCGTCCTCAGCACCGAGTCCGTGTCTCTCCTCGTTACGATGGTCGTCAGACGGTCCGCGCAGCGACTCTTTACGCCGGCGGACAGCCAATCGGGAATGAAAAGGTTCGCAAGCTCCAGGACGGCCTTGATCTGCTCGGCTGTGGCAAGGTAAATCTTTGATTCGAGGTTAGAGGGAAACGTGTAAGGTCCGACGCTTCGCTTTTTGGTAAGTACTTTCGCGTTTACGACGCCGTCTCGAGCAGCTCGCGGACGGACCGTGCAAATCGTGCAAATTTACGATTATCTGGTCTATTTCCTAGGTAATCGTATCGCGGGTAAATAGCGTTTCCTAAAATTTCGGAGTTTCTAGCAAAACGGATCGATCGGAAGCTGCACCGGGCGCGCCTCGGACGATGCGCGTACCTTTGTCGGGCGAGTAAGTCGAGAGAAGTTTCGGCAGCATGTACCAAGCTATTTCGCCGATCTCCTTCTTGTTGTCGTCGCGCACCATCCTCCGGATTCCTTTCATCGCCAGGCCGATGATCTTCTCGGGACAGCCGGTCTGCACGAGGTGCTGTTCGGGCAAGAATAACCGAGAGTCAGGGTCCGTGACGCTCGTAGGCCCGTCGAAAGGGAGCTCACCGTACCAGCAAATGGTGTCTGACGACGTTGTCGCAGCCCAAAGCGAGCAGAGGCTCGATGTTCCCGTCGGAGTCCGCTAGCCAGAGGCCCGTCGCCTTCGTCCTCAGATCCTTGGGCACCTCCGGACATTTCAGACAGTAACGAAGCAGGTCGATGTGGTGGGAATAGCACTCGTCCAGTTTCGAACGCTGCAACGCGGCTGCCAATCGCCTAACTGCGTTCCCGTAGTCCTGCTCCGAGTTGGGCGACGGATGGTAGACGGATCCCACGGCGAACAGAAACCACAGAACCTTGAGGACCCACGACGGCGGCTGCTCGGAGCACGGCAGACTCGTGATCCGGACGATCAGCGACCTCAGACAGATGGTATCGTGTCTGAAAGGTGGACGTTGCGTTCCAAGTTCTAAGTTGCGCGAGACAAAGTTCCCCCGTTCGAAGTACCGCGCCGGTGGCTTACTCTCTGGTCGCGCGGAAATGGTAATAAATCAGCGTCGTCAGGGCGGTCGCGCTGCTTTCCCAACGAGCCAGAACATCGTTCCACCGTCGCTGATCGTTTGGCAAGTCGAGCAGTCCACGGTGCATTAAATTCTCGAAGGCGGACACGTCGCTGGGCCACCGGCCGATCGGCATCGATTTAGAGGCGAGGACCGTTACGACGCGCGACAACAGCACGCAGGTGTTGCGACGAAGGTACCCTCTAAAATCGGAGATCGTCGGATGAAGGACGGAGAGGATGTACAGGCAGGGAGGACAGAGGGACGAGGGAAGAAATCCTTGAACGGATGTTCGAAGATCTGCTCGAAACGAAGCCGATCGAAACAGCGAAGGCAACCAAAGGCGATCGCGTCCGATAATCTCGACGTCGACGACGAGCTACGCGGCGAGCAGAGTTCCGAGGGACACGGGGTGTTCCCTTTCGGTGTCCCGAAGGCGGTCCCTCGTGGAAAATTGCAGAGCCGAGCGAGGTCGATCGCGTCGCGGAACTTACGGGAGTCCGGTGGTCGAAAGCAAGAATCGCTTCAGGTATCCGTTGGCGGCCAAGTGGTTCGACAAGTTGTCGCGGTCGCACTCGCGCAGCTCGTAAAGGCTGCTCAGGGCGGCGACGAGGTTCCCGTGGAATTCCGTCCGTTCGCTGTCCGTTTCGTTCGGCCGGTCGTCCTGTCGAGCCGGAAATAAAACGGGCCTTCGACGCTTGTAATTAAATATGTGTCGGGATCGGCCACCGCCGCCCACGGTAACGCAACACCGAACTCACTCTCGGGCAAGGTATCAGCGTGTTCATCGTCACCGAGTAGACAGATTTCGTCAAAGCCGCTCCGCGCAGTTGAATTTTATCGAACGTTCCCGCGCTGCTCTCGTTCGCCGCCGAACACAGCCTAGCAGAAACGATTTTCCGTGTCCGAGAGTCTGAGAGCGTCCCCGAACGTACCTACAGGGTGGCCCGTTCGAAAAGAACCGAACCAGCCCCTCGCGACGGCTCGCTTTTTACATCGAAAATGAAAGGAATTTTCCTTTCTTACGCGATAATTGCGCTTCGCTCGCGCGTTGGAACAAATTGTTGGAAATTGGAAGAGGAAAAAGAAAAAAAACGATTGAAACCGTACGCAACTGGCGGGACCGTTCTTTTCGAATGGGAACGCCTCGTATATCGATGCAAAACCCCGAATAACTTTCTATCCGGGATAAAGTAATTGTATGAATTTTGACAAGATATTATTCTCCGTTGAAAGAGTAAGGTTTGCGGGATCCGTTTTTGGAAGGCCCTGTACAGGTTTGTTTCGTTACCGGGTGCCGGCAGCGCAAAGGGCGCACAAAGCGTTCGCGGCCATCGCGATCGAGGCTTCGTCGTCGCTGAAGTCGACGATCTCTTTCATTAAGTCGAGAGCTTTGTGGCAAAGTTCGAACGCGACGTCCTCCCACTCATCCTTGGCGTTCGTGTGTTCGAGAACGATGTTGAGCAACGCGGCTGCGAGGAATTTGATTCTCCGATACGACGGAACCCCGAAGATCAAAGATTTCAGAAGGCTGAGGACTTGCCGCGGCACGCAAACCGCCTCAAAGTCCACGTGAAATCCCACGGCTCTGTGCAAGCACGGTTAAAATACACAATTCCTCGAAAAAATAACACAAAAAGCTCAAATTCATCTACGATAGAAATCGCACGGTATCGGCGCGGGCGAATACAAAAGTTTGGATTAAATGCGACAACGATAACGAACGAATTACGAAGCAATCTTCGTTGCTGATCGTTGCTTAGAAAATGTCAGAATCAATTTTTCAGTCGTTCCGCGTATGGTAGAAAAATTACAGCTGGCTGTTTATGATTCTATCGCTACACTCGATTGTAGATGCGCATCCGGTACTATAACGCACCCGATGAAACGATCTCGCGAAGTAATGCTTCAAAAATATATAAAAAAATGATGCGCTGATGCTACCTGTTCAATATGTCGTAAACGATGGCAATCAATTTTTCCAGAAGCTGGTTTTCCTTGCAACGAGACTTCGTAATGCAAATTGCGACCTTCAGCATCGAATCCACGGCGGCCATTGCCACGTGGCTCTCGTAAAACTTTCGATATACGATCACCAAGCTCAAAAAATCGAGAACCATCCTGTGTCAACGATTTTAAAGAATATTAAGAAAATCCGTGGAACGCGTGGCGTAGAAATTGCGAGGAAACGTACGGGAGAAGATGATTGTCGAGCGTTTGGAGAATTTCGAATATCGACGAGAGCACGTCGTACTTGATCAGTTTCGAAACAACCGCCTCGTTGCCTATGCTGGCGCCATCTTTGAATAGGTTGGTTAACCGCGTGATGCACGCAACCTGTAAATTCCAATTACGTATTCTTGTCCTGATTTACGAAATTATCTTTATATCTCGATTATCCCTATCGATTATAATGCGCGTATCTTTTTATATAAAGAAGACCAAAAATTCGATGCGCAATGGGAGCGATCCAACGAGAACCGCGCAACCCCTCTGTGGCTTAAAAAGTTCCATCGACTATTACACTAGAATTATCGATAGTCGTGTGCAAAAGTCTATAGACGATTCTGTTACTCCTATAAAACTATTATCCATCCTCGGAGAATAGTGAAATCGTGCGATCGAAATTCATATACCCCCGGTAGAGAGGTAACGAGTAGAATATATTATCCTACCTGGACGTCCTGGTCTTGCAGCATCAGCCTCTTCTTTATGTTTAAGGAAAAAATATCGAAGTCGTCGTATTTTAGTTGAAACAGCGACTCCATTTTCGCGAAATATTCGTATTACACGCAATTTTGTCCCCGCGCTGGTAACGCACGACGCGCGTCTATGCCGCGGTTCGTAAAGTACTACGCGAGTCATTTCGGGGGCTCGCGCGCACGCGCAGAAATTGCCCACGAATAAACGAAACGTTCGAACGGTCGTCGAACGCGTCGGCCCGGCAGCGTGGCAATTTTTACATTATATTCCAATCGAACGAATGCGCGGCGAACGAAACGATAGTTTTACGAGAAACGGAAGAAAAAAATGAGGATGCAAAGATAGAATGGTTCGCATCAATGGTTACTATATTTTATTTCAAACACGTTGTTATAAATTATAATACAAATACAATAAGTATAATCGTAATATATTATAAATGTTAAACAATCCTGAGTAATTACTCTACATAAGAGATAATGAACCGCGTATTGTTATCGATTATTCTTCGTACGTTTTTTTTTTTTTTTGTTTGCGCCCGCTGAGATGCCGGACGTCGTCGACGCCGTGGACGACACCGACGACATATAATATAATATAGAATACAATAATAACATATAATATAAACAATCCACTTTCATATGGAAGGGGTTAATTCCTAGGCTATTTATACTTTGCTCCTTAGAATCGAAACGTCATAAACTATACAGTATTTAACATGAAAAAAATGATCGCGATTCCGAACACTAAAAACATGTACACAATGAGAGAAATGCGGTAATACACAGTGCAACGTGACAACGCCGTAATATTCGATATATGTGCAGAATCTATACATAACAAGAGCGAGAAACAAGCGTAAAAATACTTTCTTTCGATTCTCGAACGAAACAACGGAGACGGAGAAGAAGAACGAGGGACGATAGAAAACGAAGTAGTCTCTCTCTAGCTGCGAAGGAGAAAAAGAACGACTTTACAGAAACAAATGGTGGAAGAAGGAGAAACGCAGCCGCGACGAACGGTGCCGACGAATCCGAGAATAATAATCAAAGAGCCTCCCTAGAAAACGATTGTTTCAGCCGCGTCGCCTTCCAATTAGCCCCCTCGTGGGGTCGCGAGATGGTGAACGGACCCTCTAATTGTACGAAATCGTTCCCGATACGAACTCAAACGACCATCGAAGAACTGTTTTGCGGTCACACCGATACACGTACGCCTTACATCGCGTTTGCTATCACGAGACACTTGTACACACACGACGACACGACTCGTACGGCGCAGGGGAACGCCGTTTGCTCGCCGGTTGTTCGCTTTAGAGATTCTTCCGAAACGTTTAAATTTGAGACGCTGCACGAGGAATAAATCGGCGATTTCTCGCCGATTTCTCGCCGATTTCTACGGAAAATTTCGTCGGTCGACGGCGTTCCGCTGCGCCTTTCTTCGCGTCCGCTGGCTACCGTGGTCCGGTTCCGTCGTAGAACCTCTGCGAGCTGGTTCCTATTGTACGAGTAAACGAAGAGTGCGACTGTTTATGCGAACCGGTTATCCAGATTGTGTTCAACGAGCGGAAAGCACCAGAATTTGTACACCCAACGGGACAGATCGTGGACGATCGCGACGGCCGATCGCGACGGAACCGGAAACGGCTGGCAGCGGGTACGATGCCCGAGAAAAACGCGAGCACCGCACGCGTTCCTACGGAAAAAAAATTCGCGTATCAAAGTCTAAATGCGTATCAAACGACGGCCGTGATCGCACGGCACAGCCTTGTAAACGTGCTTAGCAAAAGTTCCATTGGTAAAAAAAAACGGGTCCTCTGGAAAAAACGGGGGGTAAGAGCAACGAGACAATCAAGATTGGCCGGACGAGCCTCGAAGAAGAACGTTGGCGACTGTCGGGAGCCGAGCCTCGTTTCTGCTATTGTATCATGTTTACCTGATAAACATGCTCAATATTGTCCGAGGACGACGAGCCTGGTCCCGAGCCCGATCGATCGACACGAGCTAGGCGTTGCAGGATTCTGTTCTCTGGCAGTGACGAATGCGACGTTGTTTCGGATGAAGATATGCAAAGGCGTGCTGCTGTTGCTGCTGCTGCTGCTGCTGCTGCTGCTCACGGTTCTAGCACCATGAGATATGGGACAGACGACAGGGGATCTGGGTGCCATGGAGGATCGAACGAGTAGCAAAGAACCGGATACGAAGGTTGCGGGTTAGAGCTCGAAACGTTTCTTCCTCTCGGCGACCATGCCCACCGCTGGCAGTGGGGGGTGGAGCGGGTGATGGTAACTCGGCGTGGGCGTGGGGGGCAAGCTACGACAACTTCGGCTGGACCACCTCACTGTTGGAGACCTTATCAGCTCTGCAAAGAGAATCGGATCAACGTTATCTGGCTTCGATGGCTCGGCTGGCTATACTCCTCGAGTATCGAGCTTCGAGCTTCGGAAACGCGCGCGGAGAGAATCGGAAGTTCGGGCAGAGTGGACCAAAGTAGAAAACCCTGAGAGAGCCGTAGAAGAGACGGTAATTGACAGGAGGTGGTGGAGGAGGACGCTCGAAGCGGAAAAGCCAGCCGGGTTAGTCGCCCCAAAGCAATCTCGAGCTGCTCCAAGCCTTGGAAACGATTCCACGGAGGGTAGAAGCGTGCTTGGATCGCGTGGCGACGCGCGACCCCATCTCCGATCTTGTCGATGAATCTGAGAATGAGAACGGACCTGCAACGGAGAGAGCTGGGGGTTCCGGGGTGAGGCGGGGCGTGCGAGGATCGTCGACACGGAGGCCGAGTGCCTCCTGTTCACGCTGCCTTTCGGTTTGCCTGCTGTCCTGCCACCGGGTGCCAGCGCCGCCGACTCGCGCCTCTGCTGTGCCACCTTGCGTGTCAAACAATCGCCGACATACGATTACCAGGATTGCACAGTTTGCCACCCCCACGACCGTCTTCTCTTTTGCTCGTGGCACAAATAGAGGGAAGCGTGGCGCACGCTTCGGGGAAGGACGTGGCTCGCGCGCGAACGCTGGATCTCTCTCTTGGATCGACTCGGGAAACGTTTCGCCTCCTCGAGGATCGAGCTCGCTCGCTCGCGGTGGACGGAGATCCCGCGATTCGCGCGCTGCCGCGTCCTTGAAATGGACGATACGGAACAGAGGACTCTCGAATCGTTCTCTTATACACCTAAGGATGTTCCCAACAATTTAAGCGGCGTTACTCTTACAGGTATAGGGGATGCATCGTTACGACGCGGATAGTCAGTGCCGCGCGCGGGGATGTTTGTTGTCGAAGTAAAAAGTTGCAAAAATAGGTTCTCGGTAAAAGTCGTGTTCGAAAGAGGCGTGTTGGAGTATCGAGTCCGAAAAGGGGTCGTCGATCGACGTCGAACGTCGATGTCGTGAAGAATTTCGATCGGTCGCGCGCGCGCGCGCGCGCATTGACTACCTTTTGATATTATTATGCGTACAGCGTGTGTCAGCCATCGCGCGGATTAGACATTCAACGAGTATACGGGGAATCGCATTAATCGCAAGGCAGGATTACCGTGTTGCGTTACTTGTTGCATACCGTTAATAGTACGTGTCTCCGGTTAGTAGCAGCGCCTTGCCATGGTTTCGGCCCGCGGAGGGCCGACGCGCGGACAAGAGATTATTGCACAACGATACGGTTACAATGTCAGTCGCGGGTACATTCAGCCGGTTAGGTCGGTCGACGCTCGAACGTCCACGAAGCGGTTAATATATCCGAAACGGAAGCACCCGGTTAGTCTTGCTTCGATCGTCGTCTCGAGCCGCGATCGGGGAATCGCGTGAGACGAGTCGTCGGCGAACGTTTCGCGTCAACGCCGAATCTACCGTCGATCGGCAGATTTTGATTGAACCTTTCGTCGGAGGAGCCCTCCGATCGTCGAAACAGCGAGGCGAACGATTTCTTCGGTAGGTTCGGTGTCGACGGTCGAAACGAAGACGGAGACCCGAGAGACTCTTGGACATGCTACAGAGTCGTCGGATCCCCTCGAGCTTGCTCGGTCTACACCATAGAGCACCGTACGGGCAATGAAGCAACGAGGACGACGCGCGGAGGCAGACTCGCGGTGTACTTGGAGCGCGGGTGTCGCGAGAGACGGCACACGGGTATCGTGGATCAAGCAGAGAGGCGTTCCAAGAGAGGATCGACGACGACGATCCCCGCCACCGACGGTCCGATCACCGAACGTGTCCGGTTCATCTGTCTTCTGTACCTTGATACTGATGGGGCAATCCGCTCCTGGGCCTCAAGCTGTCCCACAGTGGCGATGCGAGACCGTTACGCTCCTGACTCTTTTGCCCTAAGCTCACCTCTTTCCTATCGTGCGACGGAACGTCGGAACTACTCCCCGGCCTAACCAAGTTACTCGAGTACGGCAACGAGACCGACTTAATCCGCTCGAGCTTGTAGGAGAACGCGGCCGGCTTGTCCGCGGCCGGGTGCTTATGCAACGTCGACACCGAGGAGCTTTTCGCCCTTTCGCCGGTTAGCCGGTGCTCCTCGCAGCTGCTCGATCGTGACACCGGCTCCAGCCCGCTCCGGAGGCGAAGCGGCGGGTAAGCCGCGGAGCAGTTCTGCGACGGTGATTTCGACGCCGCGCCGGACGAGTCGCGAACAACGGCATCCCCATGCTGTTAGTGGAGAATCGAAAATAATAATGGGTCAGTGCGGCTGCTGGGGCGGTTAACCTGGACGTTTTGCGCGTCGTCGATCGGGTGCCCGGGGAACGCGGACGATCCCTTCGCTGGACCAGGCTTCGGTCGAAAAGGATCCGGAACCGTGGGTCGACCGAGAGATACCGAGTTTCGCGTCTCCGAAACGAAACGAGATACGGGTTTGCGCGAACGGTTTGCGAACCGTCTACCGAAGGCGTACAAATATATGGAAAACATGTGCAAACGATACGTATCATAATATACGATAGGGTGTCTCGGCTAAAGGCGGTCGCCCGATCGAAAGGTGAATCTACGACTGGGCTGATATTTTCGGGAAACGGTGAGTTCCTCGAGCACCACGGGAAGTACTACCGCACCCCGAAGCGCAGCTGCGGCGCGATTGCGCGTGTATTTTGAAAGGGCGGGCGAGGGGTGGGGGCGGGGGGCGGGGGGAAAGCTGTTTAACACCATAATACGCAATTGCGGCAGCGTTAATCGTTTGGTAATGTACATTTGTTAACCACATCTACGTTGCGATCGGGACACGCGTGCAACCTGACTGGTTTACCTTCAATTGTTGGAGCCTGTGCATCTCCTCCCTCGGCTCGGCTATCTCNGTTTGTTGTCGAAGTAAAAAGTTGCAAAAATAGGTTCTCGGTAAAAGTCGTGTTCGAAAGAGGCGTGTTGGAGTATCGAGTCCGAAAAGGGGTCGTCGATCGACGTCGAACGTCGATGTCGTGAAGAATTTCGATCGGTCGCGCGCGCGCGCGCGCGCATTGACTACCTTTTGATATTATTATGCGTACAGCGTGTGTCAGCCATCGCGCGGATTAGACATTCAACGAGTATACGGGGAATCGCATTAATCGCAAGGCAGGATTACCGTGTTGCGTTACTTGTTGCATACCGTTAATAGTACGTGTCTCCGGTTAGTAGCAGCGCCTTGCCATGGTTTCGGCCCGCGGAGGGCCGACGCGCGGACAAGAGATTATTGCACAACGATACGGTTACAATGTCAGTCGCGGGTACATTCAGCCGGTTAGGTCGGTCGACGCTCGAACGTCCACGAAGCGGTTAATATATCCGAAACGGAAGCACCCGGTTAGTCTTGCTTCGATCGTCGTCTCGAGCCGCGATCGGGGAATCGCGTGAGACGAGTCGTCGGCGAACGTTTCGCGTCAACGCCGAATCTACCGTCGATCGGCAGATTTTGATTGAACCTTTCGTCGGAGGAGCCCTCCGATCGTCGAAACAGCGAGGCGAACGATTTCTTCGGTAGGTTCGGTGTCGACGGTCGAAACGAAGACGGAGACCCGAGAGACTCTTGGACATGCTACAGAGTCGTCGGATCCCCTCGAGCTTGCTCGGTCTACACCATAGAGCACCGTACGGGCAATGAAGCAACGAGGACGACGCGCGGAGGCAGACTCGCGGTGTACTTGGAGCGCGGGTGTCGCGAGAGACGGCACACGGGTATCGTGGATCAAGCAGAGAGGCGTTCCAAGAGAGGATCGACGACGACGATCCCCGCCACCGACGGTCCGATCACCGAACGTGTCCGGTTCATCTGTCTTCTGTACCTTGATACTGATGGGGCAATCCGCTCCTGGGCCTCAAGCTGTCCCACAGTGGCGATGCGAGACCGTTACGCTCCTGACTCTTTTGCCCTAAGCTCACCTCTTTCCTATCGTGCGACGGAACGTCGGAACTACTCCCCGGCCTAACCAAGTTACTCGAGTACGGCAACGAGACCGACTTAATCCGCTCGAGCTTGTAGGAGAACGCGGCCGGCTTGTCCGCGGCCGGGTGCTTATGCAACGTCGACACCGAGGAGCTTTTCGCCCTTTCGCCGGTTAGCCGGTGCTCCTCGCAGCTGCTCGATCGTGACACCGGCTCCAGCCCGCTCCGGAGGCGAAGCGGCGGGTAAGCCGCGGAGCAGTTCTGCGACGGTGATTTCGACGCCGCGCCGGACGAGTCGCGAACAACGGCATCCCCATGCTGTTAGTGGAGAATCGAAAATAATAATGGGTCAGTGCGGCTGCTGGGGCGGTTAACCTGGACGTTTTGCGCGTCGTCGATCGGGTGCCCGGGGAACGCGGACGATCCCTTCGCTGGACCAGGCTTCGGTCGAAAAGGATCCGGAACCGTGGGTCGACCGAGAGATACCGAGTTTCGCGTCTCCGAAACGAAACGAGATACGGGTTTGCGCGAACGGTTTGCGAACCGTCTACCGAAGGCGTACAAATATATGGAAAACATGTGCAAACGATACGTATCATAATATACGATAGGGTGTCTCGGCTAAAGGCGGTCGCCCGATCGAAAGGTGAATCTACGACTGGGCTGATATTTTCGGGAAACGGTGAGTTCCTCGAGCACCACGGGAAGTACTACCGCACCCCGAAGCGCAGCTGCGGCGCGATTGCGCGTGTATTTTGAAAGGGCGGGCGAGGGGTGGGGGCGGGGGGCGGGGGGAAAGCTGTTTAACACCATAATACGCAATTGCGGCAGCGTTAATCGTTTGGTAATGTACATTTGTTAACCACATCTACGTTGCGATCGGGACACGCGTGCAACCTGACTGGTTTACCTTCAATTGTTGGAGCCTGTGCATCTCCTCCCTCGGCTCGGCTATCTCGTTCTCTCCGACCCTCGGCACCTGCATCGCGTCGTTGACGCCGGTGTCGTTCGTCTCCAATACCAAATGCGCTCTCAGCTGCTTGTTCCTGGCGTCCAGTTGCATGATGTGCTGCTGCGCCTGAGTCAGCTGTTTCGTCAGAGAACCTACCTTTTCTTCCAGAGCCGCGGACTCGACGCACTTCGAAGAATATTTGGCGGAGAGCGAGAGAATCTCTTGCTTGATCTCTTCCATTTCTTCCCTGCGGATCGGTGAGAAACCGTTGGTACCATTATATCGTGTCGAGATCGTTCCTCGACGCGTCGCGATGCAACAACGATCCTCGGTTACCGGCGACTCGTCCGGACGCACTTACTCGTGTTCCTTGTGCAGCACCCCGATGTCCTCCCTCGCCTGCATCTGCTTGATGAACTCCTGCTTGAATTTAGCGATCTCCTTTTGTACCTCGTGCTCGTGGGCCTTCCTCATGACGTCCAGAGCCGCCAGGGTGGCCTGGGTCTCTTCCGACAACGCTTGCTCCTTCTCCACCCTCAGACTCTCCAACTCCTGCCGATGTTTCTCCTCCATTTCCGAGATGATCCGCCTGTGGGAGTTTTCCATAGCCAGCAGGCCCTTCTCGCAGAGCGCTCGCAGCTGCTTGATCTCCTCCTTGTACCTCTTGCGAGTCTCCGCGTCGGTGTCCAATTCGGCGCTCATGGACCTCTGATAAGCGGCTCTCAGCTCGTTCACGTGAGCGGAATGCTCCGAATCCATCGCGTTCAGCCTGTGCTCGAGCTTCCGAGCCTTGTCCCGCAGACTGGCCGCTTCCTGCTCGTATCGAGAGGTCAACGACTGCCTCTGGTTGTCCAATTCGCCCTTGATATCCGTCAGATCCCTTTCCTGGCTCCTCTTGAGCGTCTCGAGCTCCTCCCGGTGGTCCGCCGTGATCCTCTCGATGGTCGCCTGCAGCTGATCGCACTGCTCGCACGCCACGGTGTTCACGTGGTCCCGTAGTCTCTTGATCTGTTCGCGCAGCTGCGAGCACTTCTCGCAGACGCTGGACCAGTCGTTCCCCGCCGATTTCGGCGACCAGCTGGCCAGCTTCTCGCCGTCCTTGTCGCGAACCCGCTTCGCCAGATCGATCAGGTCCTCCTCCAGATGGAACAGGCTCTGGCCGACGTTCTTCAGCTGCTCCTTCGAGCTCCGCTTCCCGGAGATCCTCTCCTCGCACTCCTTGCCGAACTGCTGGTAAAGGTAACTGTACTCCGCGTCGAGGATCGGATTGCTCTGGTACTCGCAGTCGTCCCCGAGCAGACACGTCAGCAGCTCGTCGTTGCGGATTAGACTAGATACGAAAGTCTCGCCGGGGAAGCCGGTCGAGGGCCGCGCGTTCTCCCGGAGAAGCCCGATCCTGGCGTCGATCAAAGCCTTGTGCGCGATCACGTCCGCGTAATCGTTCAACAGCTGCCGGGACTCGAACTTGGTCTCCACGCCGGTCTTGTTCTTCTTCATCCGGCGGAGACACTCCTCGTAGGCCTCCGACAGCTCGCGAGTGGACAGCTCCATCTCCTGTCGGAGCCTGGCCTGCGCCGCGTCGATCCAGGACTCCAAAGCGACGTTATCGGTCGCCTCGAACGCGAGACAGGCGTCCGTGATGCTGGTGATGTTCTGCTCGTAGATCCGACCGCAGCGCATGATCACGTGCGACACCTCGGACTGGACCAGCTCCTTGCTGACCGTCTCCTGAGCCAGCGCCCAGGCTTCCCTGATCCGTCGGTCCTCCAGCAGCTTCTTGTTCGAGCTGGTCACCGTCTTGCCGAGATCCTCCTGCTCGGACATGCTCAGCGTCTCGACGGCCAGCGCCTCGGCCAGCTGTCGCAGCCTCGTCTCCTTGTACCTCCTCGCGATCTCGTCGACCTCCCGCTGTTTCTGCAGCAGGAAGCCGAGGCTCTCCGCGCGAGCCGCGGCAACTTCCTTCGTGGCATCGGCGGTCGCCGGCGCACCGCCGACCAGTACTAACTTATTCGCTAACACTTTAGTAAGATACTGAATGTAACTGGTGTTTTGGTAGGTTTTGGGCTTAGTTCCGTGAATCTTACGCGTTAGGCTTGTGGCAAGCTGACTAGTTTCGACCAGTTCACTGAGAACGGCACTCCTGTCGAACGTCCGGCCGATCGCGCACCTGATCTGCCTGAGAACGACGAACTCGAACGCCACCCGCTCCGCGATCAGCTTCGCCTTCTCCCGGTCGTCGAGCTGGCCGTTCTGCGCGAGCGCCTGCCGTCTTGCCGCGAGTTCGCTCAGCTTATCCTTAAGTATAGTCTCTAGCCTAGATACCGCTACCCCTACTGACTCGGTCGCTTGAGCGCTGGCTTGGCTTTTCTTACATTCTAAACACGAGTCCAGGATGTCGTTCACCTCGCGTAAACACTTCTCCGCCTTGTCCTCCGCCTGGGTGGAGCCCAGACACTTCTCCAGCCGACGCTTCGACTTGCACACCACCCGCTCCAACTTCCTCAGCCTGGCGACGATCTCCAGGGACACCTCGCTGGTCGAGGACGCGCTGACCTCGCTGCACTCGCTGCTGTCCTTCTCGGCGTCGCTCGCCATGTTCTCGGCGACGTTCGCCACCTTGGTCTCCAGCGTGCTCAGCCGGATCAGCACCTTCATCGGCTCGGAGCTGGTCGCGCTGTCCAGAGACTTCCTTCGCAGCCTCGAGCGATCCAAGTTCTTGCTCCTCTTCTCTTTCTTTGGATTAGGACTCGACTCCTTGGAGCCGGTGGCGCCGATCGCGCCGATGCTTCTACCGCGTTCGATCGCGCAGATCTTGTTCTCGAGATCTTGCAGCTTGTCCTCCATCTCCTGCGAGATCTGAAAGGACTCGCGACCTTTCAGCGACAACGACCGTCGCTTGTCTCTGGCCTCCGCCTTCGTCAGCTTCTGCTTCAACGTCCGCACCTGCTTCTCGCTGGCAGCCAGCTTGTTGGTCAGATCCTGGATCCTCGCGGCCATCAGCCGAGCCTGGGCCTGGTTCGTCTCGCTCACGCTGGCGGCGTCCTGCTTGTGCGCGAAGATCTCCAGCTCGAGCGCGTCCTGCGTCGCGTGAGCCTCTCGCAGCTCCTTCCGCATCGCGCGAATCTCCAGAATCGCCTTCTCGAAACGACTGCGCAGCTCCTCGTATTCCTCCATGATCCTGTGGAACGATTACGCGGGGGGATGAGTTATCGTAGCGCGCGTCGGTCCACGCGCACAGAATCCACGCATAGAACGCGAACGCGTAGATTACCTCTCCTTGTCGAGAGAATTCAAGTCCAGGTCCAGTTCGATGTTCGTCAGGTCGCTCAGCGAGTCGAAGCTCCTGCCGCGCTCCCTCGAAGCGGACAGCCCGCCCTTTTCCTCGAGTTCCCTGACCTTGGAGTAGAGCCGCTCGTTCTCCTCGATTCCTGCAACAAGAACGACCAAATTAGATCGCGCTCCGCTCGTCCGCTCCTCGAATCGACGGCCTATCCGCACCGACCTTGCGACAGTCGATCGCTCAACGAAGCGATCTCGGTCTGCAGATGCTCGACCGTCCTGTGGCTGGACGCCAGCTCCTCGGCGAGCATCTCGCAGCGTTCGCTGGTCTCCCTGAGGATCGCCTCCGTCTCCAAGAGCTTGCACTCGAGCACCTCCTTGTCCCTGGCGTACATCTTCTTCATCTTCTCCAGATCCTCGAGGTCCTTGTTCCTCTGCTGCTCGGTCCTCTGTACGGTGTTGAGCAGTTCGTCCACCTGTTTCTCCCTGATGGAAGCCTCGGCCTTCTGCTGCCTCAGCCTGGACAGCTCCTTCTCGGCGTTGGCGACGTCCGTTCTCGCGGCGTTCAGCTGCGACTTCAAGCTCTCGATCTCGTTCTCCTGACGCTCGACAATGACTAGTAGCGTGCTCGGGTGATTCGACTGATTCTGATCCAGCTGATCGCGCAACAGGGACACCTGGTTCTCCAGCAGCTCGACGATCAACGGGCCGTCGTTGGCGCCGGAGAGGCAGCTGTTGCTCTGCATGTGCCCGTTGGTCTGCTCCTCGTCCTCGCCCAGCTCGCAGCAAGCCATCATCAGGTCCTCGGACCTCACGCTGTCCAGCGTGCTCCTCCTCGAGCTGGGCGGCGAGCTGCGGCTCCTCTTGTACACTCTGGACCTCGAGCTGGACCTCGAGCGGGCTTTCACTCGGGACAACGCGGTCCTCGTTAGAGGCGGCGACGGTGGCAGCTCGGACCACTCGTGATTCGCCGAGTCGGACCAACTCGAACCCTTCGGTCCGGTCGGCCAGTCGCCGTTGCGGACCAACGGCGGGGACACCGGCACCTCGGACCAGTCCCCGGACTCCCTTCTTCCGCCTTCCGACGCCGTCCTGTACTCCTCGTCCGACGAGAACAGCACCGACCGAGGTGTCACCGACGCGGAGGGGACCACCGAGTCTCGCTCTCGATCCGTGATAGACCTACGACGCGCAAGCACCGATCGATCGTCGCCCTTCGAACCGCTACCTTCCGCGACCTCGATGCCACCGCGGAAGCTTCCGCTACCCGGCGAAGAACGTCCGTTCGCGGGACCGGTAGCAAACGCCGTCCACGGTGGCAGCGAGGCGTCCCGCGTTTTCGGGACACTGTAAATCCGCTGGAGCTTACGTGGTAGGCGACTGCGGGGTATTGTCCTGCTGGCCGTCCTGGCAAACGGACATGGAGTCCGCGTTGCTGTCGGGATCCGGCAAGTTGGCGGCCCTCCTGACAGCGGACATCCAGCTGGCGCGAATCCCGGCGGTGACCGCTGACAGCACGGTGGATCCTCGATCGTCCCAGGCCTTGCGGAAACACAACGCGACAAGTATGCAGGAAAACCGTGCTATCTGGGTCGATCGGCGGGATAGAGGGTCGGACGACGCGAGATCGGTGACACGAACAAGGAGGGAGCTGTTAGGCTCGCGCTCGAACCGTTCTACCGCGAAATTGAGTTACCGACTTCTTCCAGCCACTCCTACAGTACGGAAGTTAATTCCGGCAATCCAATTTAGCCGCAAAGCCCGCTGGCTGATTCACCGTCGGAGCCAACTACGGCTCTCCGATGCCGTTCAACGGCTGTGTTTTCCCGCCGTTCCTTCCCTCTCGGCTTTTATCGTCCATCGACCGCGTACTTCGGAAACTACTAGGCGAATCTAGGCGAATTCATCGAAGAAAACAGCTTTTTTCCAAATGTTTCTCGCTTACGGTTCGCAGCTACGCTTCGACGAAAAAAGAAGATTCCTCTCGTTGAACATCGTTCAAGCACGTTCACGCGTTTTTACGATATTACCAGTGTACCGTTGTATATTATTTGTATTTTTGTTTTTAAAGCGAGAAACATTTTCGAAAGTTACTCGCGCGGAAGAGGAATTTAAAGTTCCGACCCCCGACGAGGTAGTTTCCAAGAACAAAGTCCGCGCGGATTCGTTTTGCTCCCGCTCGCGGTAGCGAAGCGACTCGGGCGTCGCGCCTCCGGAGTACAGTCCGGAGCAGCCGAGAAGGCCTAACTGGATTTCCGTTCGCGCGGAATGTTAATTACCGTAAATCACCGGCCGCGAAATTCCCCCGGTCACACTCACCACGGTCTGGAATCCATAATTTCTTGCGACTTGAAGGGGCGTGACGGCGGTAACGGTATTCAGATCTATGACGCCGTCCATGATACCCTTATCTTCCGCGCAGGGATCTCGGTAGTACATGAGGCCGCAGCCGCGCAGTACGAACCAGTGCTTGTTCCATTCCTGCGACGCAATACGATTCGTTATGCACGGCTATTAATCGTCGGTTCGAGGAAAATGAGCAACTGAAACACGCGTTCGCTGTCCGGCCGCTTCAACGACGCGACGCCCCGGCCCGTTTTTGTCGCCCGTCGAGTCCCGTCGACTCGCGTCGCGCGACAGGTCCTTCCACGGCCCGCCTAGATCGCGCGTCTAGGATACGGATACGGATACGGAGGGTCGAACGATAACTCCGCCGTGCGATTAATCCGAGCTCGGAGAAACGCGGAGAAACGCGAGTTATTCCAGTTTTCTGCTCGTAAACCCGCGCGATCCGACCGCGCCGCGTACAAAAATGTCTAAAAGCGAAGTCGACGACGTCGAAACGACGTATCAAATTCTATCGGCTTCGCGTTCGTCCCCTGGCATTCGTGCGAACCCAAGTGAACCCGCGCCGAGGCGCTCGGATGCTCGAACAGCCGCGTTCGAGGAGAGAAAATGCCGAACGTTCACCCGGAGGAACCGATGCCCGGCGTATCCGAAGGAGGTACCGGACCGCCGTATAATTATAGAGGTACATCGGCGTGCTCGCGTTTGCGTTTCGAACAGGGCACACCCGATCGACCGAACGCGAACGGCTATCGAACAACTCCGCAGGAAGCTGGCCGCGCGCGTTGTCCAGGAAGCGTAGTCCGCAGTCCGTACGCGCGGGCCGGCCGTGTTAAATTCGATACGAACCTTATTGAGGCCCTGCTTCATCAGCCAGCCTTTCTTGATGTTCAGCAGATCCTCGGCGGGTAGGTCGACCCGCAATTCCGAGGTGGGGGAATATCTGATGCCCGAGATGTCTAGGCCGCAACCGTCGGGATCTCCTCTGATCTGTATCGGGAACGAAAACGATTACCGATGTGGACAACGAACGATCGGTTCTACGAACTATCGACCGCCGTTCGTTTCGAGCCGTGGAAACGAGCGAATGCTCACTAGTTTATCCTGATAGGCCGCGTTCACCGCGTCCACGACGTCCCTGGTCGGCTCGGATGTCCTCGGCTTGATCCTGCGGACGCGAGGCTGGGTCAACGAGGCTGCGATGTCGCGCAGCTTGCCTTCTCTTTCTCTCTCGTGCTCCAGCAGGATCCTCCGACAGGCGTCGTCGTCTGGTTCACAATCGTTCGATTACGTTATACGCATCGTTTGTATCGGGGATCGTTTTCAAGCTATCCCAACCATCGTTCTCGAGCTATCCTTTTCGGCGAGAGCGTCGCGCGACGTCGCGGGTATCGCTGTTATCGGCATGCCAACGGGCGGTTAGATTTCGACGAGAATCGACGAACGACGCGAGGGTGCGCGCGTGGCACGGTTATCAATTAGTCGGCAGAGGGAATTAACGGGCCGGTGGCCGGTGTACGGGCCGTGCCAGGTTCGCCGCGTCGCGCCGTCTCGAAAAGAAGTTAATTGGTTGTGCCGGGACGCGAATGTTTGATAACCACGGGGACGATCCGCCATCTTGCCTCGACTACTTTCTAACTGCTGTAATTATAATACGCAACGTGTTTCGTGTTCGCTGCGTTTCGCCGGGGAACGCCCTCGACGTCGCCTGCTACCGCCGCGTCCGCTACTCGCCGTGCCTTGTACGGCGAGTCTCCGCGTATCCGTGCTCCTTCTTCAACGTTTTGAAACAATTTACGTCGTTCCCGAACAATTTCAACGTTTGCACGGAGAGAAATCGATATCGCGATTCGCTAACGATTCTGTCGGCGGAAAAGTCGGAAAGAAGAGCGATTCCTGGTTTTAGGGACGATCGGGCTACCTGCCGCGCGGAAGCGTTAATATTCAATCTTCGCGGCAAATTAGACGCATCCTACAAGCGGCATAATTCGTCTCTCTCTCTCTCTCTCGCGGCAAACTGCCGATGATGAGGTAATTCCGGCGCGGCGGATCGCGGAAAAAACGCGACGGAAGAGCGCGCGTTACGATCCTCGTGCCATTACCATTGCCGCGCGCTGCGCCGCGCCGCGCCGTGGCAAAAACCGTTCGCTAACTGCAGGAAGTTTATTAACGATATTTATCGGCTCGATCGATTCGAATCGCACCGGTTGCCAGCCGATTATCGACGCTTTTCCGCCGACAGCCGCGGCGCGGGGCGATAAACGGGGGCGCGAGCGTTTTAATCGAGGAAAACCTCTGGAACGATGCGCATTTTTCGCCGTGTCTTCGCAGAAACCGGTCTCGGCGATCGTGCTTTCTTTCCGATCGTCCTGCGAACAGTTATCTTTCGTTTCGCGATTCGACGCGTCTCCTTCTAAAAAAACATCCGTACAGGTAGACGGTTGTATCGAAGGAAATGTTACAGGCAAGAACTCTGACCCAGAAATGTCTTAGAAAAATATCGGGACTTTTATGCGATGCGCGACGACGTTCTCTAGAACTTTTCTAGAGAACGCGCGTTGGTAATTTTAAACGCGAAACTCATTATTAAAAAGCGCCGGAACCCGTTCGATCTCCGCGCAGAGGCCTCGCCGCGTTAACAGCTCGGTTTACACCGTTACCCGATGCAATTTGTTCACGCGCCATTATCGAATTAGCTTCTTGCCCGTGCGGCGTGGCGGCTCGTTAACGCGGCTGCTCCCTGAAAAACGCCTAATTCCGATCGAGTAGGATCGCGAGCACGATTGCCAGGTAGGATTGCGACACCCGCGGAAACCGATATATCCGAGTGGCGGAGCCCGCGGTAGCCGAGTTTCACGGGAAACCTGTTCCAACGATACCGTGCCACTGCCAGGGGACGTTTTACCGCTAACGGGAAACGGCTGTCGACGAAAAACAACGGCCTGTAATTTCGTACGATTTTTTCCTGGCTCGCGACAGACTCTATTACCGGGAGAATTCTGGGGATCGCGTTAACCGTTCCGCATCGGCTGGTCGCGGAGTTCGCGATTCGGTAAACGTTTCGCGCTACCGGGTAAGAGTGCGTAATCGACGATCAGAATTTATCGCGTGACAAACTTTCTCCCGTCCAGAAGCCGACGTTTTTAGCGAACGGTCGTCGAAACGACTCGTTCGTTGGCGGGCCGCGGAAAAGTTCTTACGACACACGATCGCGCCGGTTAAATACCGCGCGCAATTTTCTTCGATTTACCGTCGTTCGTATTTATCTGCCGTTTCCTGCGGCGGTTTTGCCTCGTTCGTTTACCGTTTTAATCGAAATAAACGTGTTTACTTTTCATCGAAATTTACGATTGGAAAGATCGACGAGGCGAATAGCGGCGGAGCGAGATCGAGGTTCGCGGCGGACGATAAACGATAGTATTCCAATAAGAACGCGCCGGGCAGCCTGGAAAATTGCCGGTTGGATAAATTATTTGCAAGAGTCAACGTTCGACGTTCTAGAAGAACTTCCGTGGATCATCTCGGATCCTGATCGAGTCAAAATTTTTAAGCTCGACGCGCGAACCCGGCGCCTCGACGACGCGTCCGTTTCGAACCGCCCGCTGCACCGGCACGAAATAACGCAGAAACGTTCCGGACGGAGCAAGGACTCGCGAGGATCTTCGGAACTTTCTATCCTCGCGGGACGTTTCGCGAATTCCGCCCCGCGCGCGATCACGCCTCCCTTTCCCACGTGGTTGCGTAATCGCGCGCGTACAATCTCCGAGAAAATCTGCCGACGCTCTCGGTTCGCGCCGCGAGATCTCGGCACGGGCTGGATCGCCGGACGATCCGTAGATTTCATTTGGATCGCCGTTCCGTCGAACCTCGATCAATTTTTCTCCGAATGCCGAGAATCTTTGACTCGGTCGTGGTTCGTCCTCCGGGGCGTTCGTTCGGCTCCGGCGAGAGCTGCGAAGCCACGCCCGCGTGCCAGGACTCCTCGAGAGACGGCACAGAGAGAATTTGCTCCCTTGGAAATAGTTGGGACTCTTTTTCCGTCGACCGAACACAGCGAAGAGATCGAGAACAAATTGGAGCGTTTCGAACGCGTTTCGGATTATTCGGATCGACGCAGCGCCTCGACCAATTTCTCGGTCGAGCCCGCGACGCCGCTGAATTCCGGCCATTAATTGTTCCTCGATCGATCGCGTGCCTCGGCCCGAATCGATGTAACCATTATATCGGACACGTTCGATTCGAAGAGCCGTGGAAATAAATAACCGAACGTGGAAAGGTGTAAAAGGTTTCTAGCCGGGGTCCAGCCTCGTGGCCGCGTGGAAACGAGAAGGCATTCCTCGAGAGAGCGAAGGCGAACGCGAAGGCGAAGGCGGAATCATATCGCGATTAAAGGCTCGTAGCTCACTGGAAACGACAAGCTGACTTATCGCCGATTGGAAACCACGTATCCACGTACCGCGGGGATACGCGCCGGTGGTGGGAACGCCACGCAGAAAACCCTTTGAATTTAATTGGAATCCCTTATCGCGCGGAGCTTCGAGGGAGAGAAGGGTGGACGCGCGGCGCGCTTCCCTCTCTCTCCGCGAGCCGTGCCGAGCCGTGCCGAGCCGTGGCGAGCCTGATTAATTTCAGCCGCAACGATCCTCCCGGTGGTAATGACAGAGACACTCCGCGGTTAGGATGTTGCCGCGGTGCTCGGCGCGAGACGCGCGGTGCCTTCGACCGCAGGATCAACGAACAAGCTACCTTTCCGATTCAATTATATCGTTCCTTCGTTTTTCCGCGCAACGAATGCTCGCACCGCCCGACCGATATTCTCTGTCGCTTCTGATATAAACACACATTACGTAAATATATATATATATATATATCCGATCTCGACGGTTTATAGTTCTCTAACCTTTGGAATATTGGAACCAGGATAAACTCTTTAACAACGACGAACGAATTTTTTATATATATTATATTTATTATCATTATATAATAATAATTATATATATATATATAAAATTCGTTCGTCGTTGTTAAAGAGTTTATCCTGTGGTTCCACTACTCCAAAGGTTAAAGAACTATAAATCGTCGAGATCTCGTTTTTTACGATACGCGCGAAACGAAACCTGCCGTTGCATAGAATTCGGCTCGCGGCGTACGAATTTTCCGGCGAAAATCTGTGTCTACATGGAAATTTGACAAATTCCGAGGCAAAGACGTTCAGCGACAATCGTTGGAACGGATTTAAGAATTCGAACGTATCTCGCTTCTCGAGCTCGAGGCGGTCGAGCCCGAGTTGGATCGGTTATAGTTACGGCATTCGGATGTTCGCACGGTTGATTCTCCGTGACGTCGTCGCGCTAACCGCTCTCTGTTTATACCGTCAATTGTCAGAGGGGAAAATGGGTCAGGTACGATTTAACCGTGCCGCGCAAATCATCGTCGCCGCACGGCCGACCCAGTTTCCTCCTCTCCGATCGAACGAGATGCCATTGTTGCCGTAAAACCGAATCGCGTTACCAGATCTCGACGCGGCGAATTTCTCCTCGCGCGTCCGTCCGTATCCCGCGCGGAAAATCAATCGCATCGTCGTTACTCTCGCCGAACGGGGGATCGTTCGCGTTAATAGATTGCAGAATTTCACGCGTTTACGGCGCGCACGATTTAGATCCGACTGTAACGAACAATTCGTCACGGTTCGATGTATCCTCGGCGGGATCGATGAACTTCTATCGAATTTTCCGATCGACGGTCGCTGCACGGCCGTTCGTACCATCCGGGAGTGATTCGCGTGAAATCGACGACGAGGAGGAACTATGGCAATCGATATCTTAAGTATTTGCTCTATAATTCGATCGTCCGCGGTTCGGTCGATCTCTAACGATACGTTAGACGATGGCGGAAAAGTTTCGATCGCGTTCGAACGCGGTTAATCGACGAACGAGTTCGATATAAATTGGAACGATAAAGGTCGAGGCGCGTACCGAACGATGTCGGTCACAGATTATAAATATTGTTGATCCATCCGAGATCGCTGTCCGAAGCGACGTCGATTAAATATCTACGGACGTCGTAAAGAGGACGTAAGTAACGAGGTCGCGACGACGCTTATAATGGCAATAATAATTTCTACGAGCAACCGCCGAGGCGATCGCTCCCGAATAGAAGCATCCCGATCGGACGACGCGGGAAGAACGCGAAGAGAGGTCGACGCGGCATAAATATCGTAGATCGAAAATCGACTCGGACCGTTCGTTATTTATCCACCGATGAGAAATCGATCGGCGACGGCGCCCGCGCTCGGAAGAAAAATCGTCCGGTCCGAATAAACGAGCAACGTCGGATGCTCGGCGGAGGCTCGCGCAGCCTCGGGGCCGCGTCTCTTATCTAAAGAGGAAACCGGAAGAGGATCGCGTGGAACCGGCGTGTCTCGGCGAGGCCTGCGCGAGAGCGGCGTTGCTCGGGTACCTTTGCCTTTATCCCGGGGCTATTTCTACGTGTTACGTATATTCGTGTGTACCGACCTAGTTTCTCGGTGGAACAGGCTGGTCCGGAGCTCGGCCGTTCTCCGTGCTGATTCATCCTACGTCTGGCCTTGTCTTCGGCTCTCAGCTTATCCCTGGTCGGCGGCGACGCGCTGCTCGCTGGCTGATCCTTGTAGCTGGACCTACCCTCGCTCGGAACTATCGGCGGCTTCTCCGTCAGCGACGAGCCGCTCGTCGACGGACCGCCGCTCGACGCGCTCGAGTAAACTGCGCCGACCGTCGCGCCGTTCATCGCGGACGTCGCCGTCGAGGTCGACGGCGACGGGGACGGGGACGGGGACGGGGACGACGAGGGCACCGACACGGCCGCCAAATAGCCGGAGCTTCCGTTCTCCAGAGGGCCGCCGCTCCTCAGCGGAGACACCGAGTTGTTTCTGTGCTCGCTGCTGGCCTCCGAGCTGCCGTTGCTCGTCACCGAGCTGCTGGACGTGGTCACCACGCTGCTCGTCACCAGAGACGACGAGGAGGAGAACACGGAGGAGCAGAGGTCCGACGGCACGCTCGCTTCCGGGATCCACGTGTTGCTGCGCGGCTCCGAGCGGCAGCTGTTGAACCGCGGACGAGGAGGATTCGGAGTGTTGCCTGAAAATTCGGACATTGTTCGGCGAGTTTCTATCCTGGGCGAAGGGAAGGAGTTCGTTTATAGACTCGCGACTAAATCGTATCGGACGATCGAATCGTACGGTCGAGAAGAATCGCGCCGCCGCTTCGATTTAACGCGAAGCGCTTAAACTGCGAAAAATTACGCCAACGGAATCGACCGGAATCGATCGAAGCGGCACGTTTCGTTCGGACGGTTCTATTCGTCGGCAACGCCGACTCTTTGTCCTCGTTATTTTAATCGATCGACGATTATTTTCCGTCTCCGACTACGCGAAAGCCACGAATCGGTCCCGGAGAGAACGTCTCGACACCGGCGCGGCGCGGCGACGCGTTATTTATGCCGCGGCTCGTTGATGTAAGTGTCGCTCGATGAGGCATTGCGTCACGAATCCATTGAAAGCGCAACCTTTGGTTGTACATTCGAGAATTATTGGCCGCGTAAACGACAGGGACAGCGGCCTGGAACGGAACGGAACGGCCCAACGAATTACTACTTACTCCTGATCGTCGGTGTGACCTGAAGAATGGTCGTCTGTCCGCCCGGGAACGTGGCGTTTCGCTTGTGCCGGCCCTGGAACAGTTGAAACGGTTAAATATCGCGGCAAATAAAACGGCAAATCGCGTACCTATAAAATATACGTATTATACGTTAGGTGCGTTTAGGGAGCGGTGGTTCGGCGTCGAGGAAGAGACGGACGCTTCTCGTCGATATCGTCGAAGGGGTGTAAGCGTCCGCGGTCGCGGCAGCAGGGGCCGATTAAAAATCACGGCGATTATCTTCCCGCGGCCGGTATGCCGTAGAATTTGCACGTGGGCGGAGGTACGAAGGCGGCGCGGACTCGACGGGCGCGGGTCGGGCGCGGGCCGGGCGCGGGCTGGTTCGCGGCTCGCGGCAGGCGGTCGGCGATAACGGCTAGATAAGAGTGACGCTGATAATATTCCGCTAAGGTGGCTCTTCCCTTTTCCGCGGTGCGCATAATTCGTAAGAACGGTGCCGCGCGACGCCGAACAGACGCGGACACGAACGTTTCAATCGAGCTCGGGCAGCGCTACGAGCGCGATCCAGCCGCGTCTGCAAATGCCGGGCTGATGGATCGCGCCACTGGCCGCCGTAATAACGATCAATTTATCAGTGGAACTGGCCCGTAATCGGCTCGAATGAAACGGACGATCGGAGCGTAACTCGGCCTCGCCGAATCCCGCGACGGCCTTCGGAGAAATACGAGGGTAACGCGAACTTTCGGAGAACGGGCGAACGTTGGAGCCGAGCCGCGCCCGAAGATGCTCGTAACTGGATCGTTTATGCGCTCGGTTCGCTCCGAGGATGCCACCGGACGGCGCGCGATTAGCGATAACGCGCTAATGTTAGAGTTGTTTCGCCCCATCGGAAAAATTAGCTGTCGGACCGCTCGATCGCGTCTATGGGATTTTCTACGATTTTCAACGTCGCAGTCGTTGCCCGAACGTTCGTAATTTCCGCGCGAAGCCATCGCGAGAGCACGAGTCGCGCGCGCGTTTCAGCGTTAAAGGTATCGGCCGCTGCTGGAATCTCTCGCGAACGTTTCGTCGGTGCCCTCGCGAAGAAAGTAGACCGTCGACGGGACGACTCGAGAGAACGGGTTTCGCGCGTTCGCGAGAAAAACGAGTAGGCGAAAAGCATGACTCGAGGGGCTTCCCCGGCTGTCGATGGTTGGAACCGGGGGACTAGATAACCGCGAGCGAAGCGATAAAACGGAAACGGTGCGTGGCTTGACGCGAAAGAAGATCGAGAGATCGGGACTCGGGAATGAAGTTACTCGACGAAGATAGAGAGGCGGCATCGAGGCCGCGTGGAACGCGTTCGTTCCGCGGCTCGGCGCGCTCGCGGATCGTTTCGCAATTAACGAGGCTCGTTTAAATGGGATCGGACAGGTGTTCCCACGCGGGAAGAAGCCGGTGCTTTCGCGCTCGCGTCCACCGCGTATGTATTTGGTTTCGCGATCGGACGACGCGCGACTCTGCGATTCCGACGGCATTTCGCGTCGCGGCAGCGCCGAGCTGCGGCTACGGCCGGTCCCCGGCGATGGAGGAAGAAAAATAAAACGGAGCCCCGTTTCCTGCGCGTTCACCGTTCGCGCACGCTCCCGTGTTGGCGTACGTACGCGCCTCGCCTTGGCCTCGTAACGTAATCGTACGTTTACACCGGCTAGCCGGCCGGCCGGCAGGTCCACCGGCGCGGCGCGGCCGAGCCGAGCCGAGCCGAGGTGTTTCCATTTGCCGATCGATCGTTCCTTGCGTAACCGAATCGATCGAGCGACGCCTAACGCGCGGGACAATGCGCGAAGGTACTACGCGGGATCCTCGATCTCCGCGAGAATCTGCATCGCGAGAGATTCGTCGGCTCGACGATGTTGGAACAAAGATTCGGTACGTCGACGCAGATTTCCCATTCCCCGATCGATCAACTTTTTACGCAACTCCCGTTGTTGTCAGGAAAGCGATTGTCTCCCGATGACGGGCGTACACGGTCGATCGTCGATCGACAGCGGCGAACACGGCATCCGACGATCTCGCGAAGATCGCGGCGGAGATAAATTCCTAGCTTTCATCGTTTCAACGGGGACTCGAGTGGGACGCGTTTCAAAATCCGATGGCGAAGATCGGCCCGACGAAGCGCTCGTCTATTCGTTTTCCAGCAACTTTTCGGATCCTCTGGAACAGCGAAAAGATAGCTCCACCGGCGGAACACCGAAAATATCCGGAACGCGGCGAGAGAAAAGATTCGAGAGAAAGGTCGGCCAGGTCTTGGTCGAGAGAAGGCCGCTAGGAGCAGCTAGAGAGCGCGCGAGGCCCGCGCTCAATTAAAATTAATTGAGATACAAACGCCTCTATCGGCAAACTTAATCCCCGGAGCGCGAGCGGTCCGAATGGCTGTCGGATCGAGCTGAATCGGCCGGCCGGGAATCGAATTGAATCGTCCCCGGGGATTAACAAACACGGAGGACTTTGGTCGGCCGTTCATTGTCCCTCGTTCGCAGCGTCGCGTCGCCGCGAGTCGCGGCGAGTCGCCGCGCCGCGCCGGCATAATCGGGCTCCTCTATTCCTGCGGCGAGTGTCGAAAAGAAACGAGCAAAGAACCCCGCATCGCGAGCAACAGTCCTTCGAGGCGAGCGCGAATCCCGGGGAGCAGGCCGGAGGAAAGGAGAGGAGCGGAGAGGAGAGGAGAGGAGAGGAGAGGAGACGAGAGAAAAGGACAGTAGGGCCCCGCTCGCGCGGATCGCTCGACGTCGACGACGAGAACAGACCCGACCGCCTTCCAGCTCGCATTATTTCGCGCGGTAACGAGCGTGACGCCGCGACAGCCCGCGCTAATGATCGAGCATTATCGCACTTTTGCCGAGCTCGTTTCTTCGCCGGGCGCTCGCGGGAATTAACCGGCGGACCGGACACACCGGACACTCCACCGCATTACCTGGCCAACCACTGACAATGTTTATTCGGAAGTATACATTATGTACCTACTCGACTCACCGGTTTTCAAACCACCCTCCCTCCCGCCTTTCTTTCGCTAACGTATCAATTCGAGGTTCTTTACGTTCGCGACTCGACGATACCGCCACTTGCCAGTACATAACTTGTCAGGCGTGATCGAGCTTCGAGAGCTATTCCAAAGCAGACCGTAAAGTGTCTCGCATTCGAGATTCGACACCGCTCGAAACGAAGAACCGTGAACGATGCTTCGACGTCCGTGCTCGCGAGTTCCTATCGATCTATCAGCGCGTTGCGTTGTTCCGGAAAGCTTCGAATTTGTCCGAATACGTTTGCCCGGAACCGTAGAAATCGGTTTCGAGCAGCGAATTACGCGTTTCAGGCCCAGCCCTGAAAAAGAAGTACCCGACTCCCGACGGGCCCGCCGCGCGCCTCGCCTCGCCGCGCCGCGCCGCGCCATGCGGCTGTCATTCGTTGATTACGGTGCGCCGCATAATCATTACCGCATCCTTCCGCGTCATGCTTGTTACGCGTGCAGTTATACCAGAGTTGCGGCCGACTTGTCTCACCGCACCGGCGGAAATGGCTTTAATAAGGCAGCGCGCGGATCGACGGGAAACATTGTCGTTTTACCGTTTTCCCAGCGACTGCGATCAACCGTTGAAACTTTATTTCCGCGGACAACTTTGCTTGACTTTTCTATTCGAACGGTCGAGACCTTTTTCTTCGACGCAACCTTTTATTCGAACATCGTTGCGATCGCGGGTTGTTGAAACGTTCGATCGGACGTGACACACCTTCTTCGTGAAATATTGAAGCAATTCAGAGGGAGAAAATGGAGTATTACGACTTTAAACGACAACGCGCGTACGGTTAATTCGATTATTCGATATCGTGGACGTCGCAGGCGCGCGGGACGATGTCAGCGAACGAGTTGGCGCGGACTTTTTCGTCGGGAACGGAAATGGGAACTGGAACGGGAACGGGAACGGAAACGGATACGGAAACGGGAACGAACGGGAACGAACGGGAACGTACCTTGTTCCTCGAGTAGACTTGGAGCACGTCGGCCCACCATCGCGTCTCCTCGCGACACGTGCCCTTCACGAAGGTGACGCCCTCGGGCGAGGTCACGGCGAGGCTGTAAGGATGTCCGGTGATGTCCTCGGCTGCGGCGACCTCCAGCACGCGAGTCATGTCGATCCTCGCTTGGGGTACCGTCTCCGGCTGCAACAAAAACCCAATGTCACCGGTTAATCGCGGCGCTTCGATCGGTAGTCTGTCGCGGTAGCCGGCAATTCGTTCGAGTAATCGTTCGACGGACGACGATCTCGTTTAATAATACGATAATTCGATGCCGATTGGTGGACCATTGTAAATTATAGCAGCGTGCTCGGAACCGCGACGGTTCTTCGACGACCTCCGGAAACGTGCCGCAGTTTTATGCAAACTCGTTCGCTTCGCGCGGTGCCGCTACCTGCTCGATAAAAGCATAATTGCTGCTCCGTTAACCTCTCGACTTACGAGATTCCGTCTCGTTGCGTAAATTTCGAACGGCGTCTACTAAATACGGACGCTGTACGTCCGTTTTACGAGTCTTCGCTTATGCACGCGTGCGCCTTGTTTGTTCAAATTCGATGTTCAACCAAATGTCGACGCGCGATAAACGATGCAATCTTTCGCTCGAGCGGATAAATGCGCGTCTGTTTTTTCGGAGCGTCTGTGTAAATTAGGAGGAACCACGAATATATCCGAGGGATACCAATGGGCGCGCGTGCATAGGGTGTCCGTGCGAAATGAAAATGGTCGGCGTCTATCGCGAGCGACGATCGTTCGTACCGGAATTCTAGCGAATCCTTGGGGCGCGAAGAGGAGAATAAATAGTCGCAGGTCGAACTCGTTGGATTTTCGCTGAAACGCGGATCCGCGGTCGAGCAAATCAACGACGAGCCCGACCGCGCGCGGTTCTTGTTTCCGCGAAATTTCCATTCCTCCGATCGGTAAATCGGTCGCTGGAGAAAGCGTTTCGGCGATAGGCTATCGGCTCGCGTCTAGAACGCGAAACGATGCTTTTATCGGCCGTTCCCGATGAGCCGCGAGGCCCGGGCGCCGGGCACCCGGCAATTCCGCGGTTTATTTGTCGAGCGCCGGTTTTATTGCTCGGCCGGCCGCGGCCGGGATAATTTAGTGCCTCGTAACGCGGACGACGGTAAAAACCGCGGAGGGGCGAATAAAATCTTCCGGTGTTACTTTGTCGCCGATTTCGGGCGCGAACGGGCTCGGTCCCCAGCGGGGTCCGCGGCGCGGCGCGGCGCGGCGTCTCCCGCGCGGAAACGCGTCGTTCCGCGCGCAATAAGCGGCGTTACGAGCCCGGGCTGCTCGCCACTCGTAAAAGTGGTGCTTTCGCGGGAATAACGCCTTATTACTATGTCGGCGAATAGTTCTCGCCTCGTAAAACGAAATCGAGCCGACCGGACGCGCGGCGACGATTCGACGAGCCGGAAATCGCGGGCCCCTTCGGAGACGCTGCTGGGACGCTGGGTCGCGACCCGCGTCAAGGTCACCGGTAGTCTTATTTTTCCGGAGCCAGGTAAAACGGGCACGATCCGTCGTCGCATGGAATACGCAGATTTTACGTTCGTCGTTGCATCGTACGCGTCGGCATGCTAGAACTTGGAAATTCGTTCAATAATTTTCTAACAAAGAGTCTTCGAACTGAATTTTACGATCCAGATCTGTACGCGGCGATCGGCGCAAGCTGCGTCGACAGTCGAAACCGGCGGTCGTGTCGCGAGTCGTGACAAAGTATCGGTAATCGAGCGGCAATTAACCTTTCGACGTTCGAACGCGATCGACGCGACGCGGAGACGAGGACACGGGGAATGGAGACGAGGTGGTGGCAGACAGCGGAATCGAAAGAAGCGACCGGCTGTCAGCCGCTGACACGCGGAAAAAATTGAAGAGGGATCACGGTTATTCGTGATCGCGGGACGAGCGCAAAAAAGTAGCTGCTTCGATTCCCCCGAGACGACAGCCAGTCCTGGCCCGCGGAGATCGCTTACCCGGAAGACTTCAGACCCGAAACCTTCCGGACACCTGCCTAATTTCCCATTCATCTCGCTGTCTCGCGTTCGAATCGGTCGATGCCCCGTTTAGACGAGATCGCAGGAGAGCCTGAAAGAGCCCCCCCTTCCCCCATTCGCTGTTTCGACGCGGACAGACGGGATAATACGCGAGCAAATTGGCTCGGAAGGCAGACGTTCGCCGCGAGTATTCGGCGCCACTTTCGTCGCATTCGCGAACAGAAGAAATCTGAAGAGGGTTATTCGGGACAATTTGCGGAGCTTGCTTTGGTTCGCGCGTTCAAAGCGAAGGCGCGAGACGACGCGCGACGATCTGCCCGGAAAGGGGAGCCGCGTCGTCCGACGTGCCCTCCGCGAATTAATTAGCGCGGGAATTAAAGCGAATTACGGGGAAAGAGTCGCGAATGCTAGCGGTCGAAAGACTCGAGTGCCCGACCTCGAGATTCGGTTTGCCTCGCGAACCTTGGGTCGGCTTGCCGGAATCCCGATCTATACATATACAAAAGTATGGTCCAAAGACGCGCGAACGAGTTTCGTAACGATGCATTTTTTTATAGCTTCGGCTTAAGATTAAGATTAAACAAGAAAATATTGAAACGCGACGGGAGATAACATTTTGGAGACGAAGCTGCACGTTTATCGCAATTTCGACGACAGCGACGTATGCAGGAAAACTCGGAGAAACGATTTAAACGCGTGCCGGTCAGTTTGTAAAATTTCCAGCAGTTCGTTTCAGGATTTATTCGATGAAAGAAGGAATTCCGAAGTTGTCGACGCGACGAGAAAAATGGATGCCCGTGGAATCGCATCCGGCGCGAAGCGACTACGTGAAATCCGTCGAATGTAGATTTTCGCCTCGGTGGAAGCGGTTCATTAGCCGGTCTCCGGCGATAAAAGAGCCCGGTAACGGTAAAGGTTCGTCAGCGGCCGCTTATGCCTTCTACCGCTTAATCAAGCGCCGCGCGTGAAACAAGACGAGCCGCGCGGTTAACGCGGTCGTCGCGGTCGTCGCGTCGTCGCGGAGCAAAAGATCCGCGATGGAAAAAATCCCCGTTAAATCGCGCGTCTCCGCTTCTTCGGCTCGTTCGAAGCGATTAAACGACGGGACGCTAGGCCGCGTGCACCGGAGGTGTAGGCAGAAATCATCGAGAGAAAGAAACGGAAAAAGAGAGAGAGAGAGAGAGAGAGAGAGAGAGAGGGAGGGAGGGAGAGAAGACGTATGTAAAATGTAAATTTTTCCGTGCACGCGAGGAGAGGAGAAATATGACCGCGCCCGCGGAATGATGCACAAGCGAACGAGCTCCTCTCGCGTTTCGAGAATTACGTCGCAGCCGCGCGGCGCGGCGCGGCGCGCCGAATGCAACAAAAACAAACGAAAAAATAGCTGGCGGCCGTGAATTATGCGCGGCCGCGGACACGCGATTCATGCAACTCTTCCGAGCGCCGTGGCCGGCCGGGACTCTTGCTTCCGCGGCATCGGAGCGAGATTCTTACGAGATCCTGCGCCGATTGGAAGAATCTCCTCCGCTTAGCTTTATTAATACCCCGTGAACGCTTCTTGTCCGGCCTTCCGCGGAACACTAGATCGCATCGCCGCGCGGCACCGGTTCCTCTCCGAGCACGCGTCGCTCGCTCTTTCGCTCTTTCGACTTTCCTGAAACTGCGCAATCTTCGACTCTACTCCGTTCTTCTACGCTTTCCGGTTCGAGATATCGCAGTTTACAGTTCGACTCGGGAATTTGTGAAATTTGAAAAAAGGAACGCGAGATACGCTGCGTCGACCAGCTGCGAAGAAGGAAGCCGGCGCCGCGAACTTTGCACAGACCGTATCCCGAAGTTTCCTCGACGCGATCGACGTCTCGGAAACGAGCGTTCGGTTGCCACGGTTCGACGATCGGTGATTCTTGTTTAAGAGATCCGCGACGTTAATCCGGGCAGCGTGAAGTCATCGCGCGCAACAATTCCGGCAGATCTAAATCGATTCGGTCGGTCGTAAGAATCGCGACAACGGCCGGCCCGACGGAACCGCGTCCAGCTGCGGATAGTCGTGGGCAGCTAATCGAGCTACCCGGCTAACCCGTATTTATAACCCAGAAACGGCGACGTTAAATTCCAGCGAGCGCTTAATAACAGCCACGACAAAAGCGGCGGCATACCGTTAGCTTGTTTGCCGGCGCGGCGCGCGTTGCCGCACGAAATCATCGTGGATCGCGTTTCGCGAGCGTAAAACCCGCGCCGAGTCCACGGTCTACGATCGACGCCAATAAAATCCGCGATTTAGAAATGCCCGGGCCCCGACGAAAATTCCTGGCACGCCGCAGGCTGCACGCTGCGCACCGAGGTGCACGTTGGCAGTATTGCACGGACCGCGCGCCGGCGTCTTACTTTCTATTATCCGCGTTCTTGCCACGGCTGAATGGAGACCGTACAATTAACCACACTTGACGTTCGTACACAACGATCCATGAAACGTCCAACGCTCCCGAGACCGGAGCGGGACCCGAGCGAGGGGCGAGCGAGGGCCGAGCTCGGTTCACTTTGTTGCCGGACGACTACAATTTGTTATTTGTTTATACGCCGCGCCGACCGGTGCACGCGCGTGCAGGCGTCGCGTGGGTGGGACCAAAGAAGGCGAACCGGAGCGCGTGCTCCAAGAGCGACCGCGATTTCGTAACGCGCCGAAGCCGATCCACCGAGATCGATCGATCCTCCGCCGCGTCTCGGAATCTCTTCGTTCGGAATTCTCCGAATCGCGTGGCAATCGCGAGAATCGGAAATCGAAAGGGGCCATCCCAGCGCCGAAATATTCTGGCAGCGAACCGAGGACGTTTATCTTCGATTTTATGCAGGAGTCGAGGAACGTCCGGCGGAAGAAGCCGAGAGGACGCGATCCGGAATAAACGTAGGATAAAATCGGCGATCCATCGAGGGGGCCCGAGCGGACGGGAGCCTCTATTAAGCTCCTGGATGCGCGCACCGGATAGTCGGCGGATTACGCCGAGCGCGCGCGGGGCCCACGGCCCAGACGTGTACGACGCGACGATACATCATGGCCGGCGCGCGTCCGGCTGCAGTCGCGGCCACGACTGCGGCCGATATGTATACGAGNGAAATCATCGAGAAAGAAACGGAAAAAGAGAGAGA